CCCTTTGTGCTACACATTGGAAAAACTGGATTTATCCTAACGGGAAGCTGAGCATCTTTGCAGAGAAAATATCCTCTGCCTGTTTGCCAGGGATATTCTTCAGCCTAAATATGCTCAACTGCAGGTATGAGCTTCTACAATGAAGTATGAGAGTCTGGAAATTGGGAAGGTCGTCCTTTATGTGGTAGGGGACTCAGGTCTTGGTGGTGAATTTCTGAGGCTCGGGAGGTTGCAAGTAACGCAGTCTAATAATGATTTTTATGCTAATCATCTACCAATGATTTCTTTGCTGGGACAAAAGCAAATATCCTTTTACTATGGCATGTGCCACTGTGCTGCTAAATGCTGGCAGTCAGTAGCGCAGTTCATCATTACACCACCTTTGAAAGACAGAGCTATGTCCTTGTATACAGAGAAGATAAATTGATAAATGGATGTGATTGTGCCTGAGCTGGGAACTGCACAGGCTCTCCTCATAAGAGTAGTGTGGTAACTTCTGGGATAGCTCTCTTTCATTGATGTTGCCTTGAAATACTGACCTTGATAGTTAAGCCGTGGAATGCCATTCTGCAGAATTCTGTGGAAGCTGAAAGCTTAGGTGGGTTCAAGAAACAACTGGACAAATTAATGGGAAGAAACTCCATTAATGAGCGTGAAATAGAAAGCCACCTTTGGCTTAGAAAGTTGCTAACTCATGAACTGCTGGATACTAGGAGAGTGTCCAGGGGAAGCCCTGCTGCATCCTTGCTATCTTCTGCTCTCCTGCAGGCATCTTCGGTGAGCCCTGGTGGGAGATTGCTGGGCTGGATGGACCTTTGGCCTCACCCAGCACGAACTGCTTTTAGGCTTTCATTTCTATGGCAGAAAATAAGAATACTTTTGTATTTAAAATACAAGATTAGTTTCAAAACAGTAATGACATCTCACAGCTGAACTACGGTGTGAAGATGACAGAAAATGTTACCTATAAAAGCTCCCTACTAAATAAAGAAACGTACGTTTTATCTAAGTTTGCTAAAGCGAATTATATGGAATAGAAAAATATTATATTAGCGAGGTAGAGTTGTGATTATGGGGCTGTGGTCATTTCATTAAGTGGGTATACAAGAAAAGGGGTTTAAATTGGTGAAGGGAGTATAGACAAGCCTTCAGATTCTCATTCAGACTTGCAGTCTCTGGTTTCAAAATTAGCCTCCTCTCCTCATGTTTTCTTGTTAGCGGTGGGCTTTTGCTCTTGCAGCTCTCCTTAATTAAATGCAATTATTATGAATATTTTGTGCAACTGCTACAGCAGTTAAGAATTTCTGTTTTCCCATGCATCTGGGCAAATGAATTTGCTCCAGAGAAAACGTGCATGCTTCCTCTAGTTTAACTATTTTTAAGCAAATAGGTTTATTTTGTTAGAAGCATTTATTGCAATACATGCAAAGGCTGATTCATACTTGTTCCATGATTGTTGAGCTTTGTTTTTTCTAAATATTTTCCTAACTATTAAAGAAGTGCTATTCCCTCTATCCTCTCTCATCTTGACTATTTCTTTATGCACTAAGTTTAGTCTTTCCTTTGTGTGTCCTCTTTGAGTAATGAATGTAAATAATCATGGAAGCCTCCGAGTCGCAGATGTGACTGGTGAAGCTTCATCTTCATCTTTGTTTTGAAATTGTGTGTGGTCATATAGGAAGGTGACAGCATTAGGGGATATTTTTCATACATTAAGAGACTTTACCCTTTTACTGGAGAGGCTTTAGTAGGTCTGGGGAAACAAGACACTGCTCTAACCCCTCTTGGTATAGTGATTTAATGAGGTACTAACAGACTTTTTCTAATCTGGGACATTTCTGTGGTCCTGTTCTGATGAAACTTATGAGAGTTAACAGGTACATGACAGTTGGCTTGGGCAGGCCTTTTGCTTGGCACTAGCTGACGTGGAAGATGTAGAAGGAAAGGGAAATTAGGATTTCTGTCCAAATATTGTGCCTCTTTTTGGTTTGTTTGTTTGCTTTTTGTTTTCAATGCAGTGTCATCCTATCTCTGTGTAAGTGTGGTGGATTGATTCCTTTAATATATGCATAGGCTACATTTGTCCTTAGTTTAGTCGAGATTGTATTTCAAAGTATTTAAAGAAATACTTTCATGTGCACGCCATCATACTGTTTTATTCAAATACCTCCTTAACCATCTTCTTCGTTTATATTGCAATTAGCAGACAATCATCCTGTCACTGCATTCTGCTCTGCTGACATTCCCCCTCTTAAATCTGCCAAAGGGCTGAATTCCTTGGAAGTAAGTGGTTTCTGAAAAGCAGGCACCCCCCAGGGAGTTCTTGCGGTCAAAGTGTACAGAACTATTTCAAACACCTGTGGCAACTTTAATCCCTTACGCTAATAAATTAAGCACAGCAGACATGGAAATTGTCCACACCTAGGTTTGAGAATCAGTAAACTCCTTTGGGTGACTGTCACAGGAAGTTGGCTTGTTCTTGCAGATTTAGTCGCTTTTGTAAAATGTTGATCTTAGCTAGACCGCTATGAATTTGGAATGCTCTCCTTCGTATGCTACTTATACTGTGTCACCTAGATCAGAAGGCTTCTACTTTAAACTAAACTAGTTTGCATTGGCATCTCAGAATAGCAGTGCAACCAGAATACATTTCCTCATCATAATAAAATCAGAAATGCAGACACTTGCAATGAAGATTTATGAAAGTGATGTGTATTTAAAAATATACCCAGAGGAACTGAACCCACTGCCCACTTCAGCTGATGTTTTTCTTTAGGTCCTTCCTCCTGGACCTTTGTTTTACATCTCAGCTTTCCACAGTAGACAAAGCAGGTCCCAGCTGGTCTCGCGTGTACCTTCCGGAGAAAACCCAGGATCTTCTCAGCTTTGCAGTGAGAGATGTTTCTTTACTTCTTGTGCTGAGGCCTCTGTGCAGGGCTGAGGCACTGTACCCAGACTTTATGTAGGTATCCATATAATTATGTCTGAGGCTTTTGCGGGATTCCAGTGGTGTGCAAAGGGGCCTTAGACTAGATGTGAATCAGATCTAAAAGATCATACAGCTCCTTCTGTAACAGCATAAGGATTATTTTTTTTTTGTGCTGGCCAAATTTCACTAACTCTGCGGTATGGTACATGCCAGCAGTGTTTCACTCT